ACCCCCTCCCTTTCTGCCTCCCCTCCTGCTGCCTCTCCTGCTCCCCTCCCCTCCCTCCTCCTGGGGTCTGGACAGGACCCCCACCTTTTGGTACCAGTGCTTGACCAGGCGGATGAGGCTCTTGAGCTTGGCCGGGCGCTGCTTCAGGAAGGCCCGCTGCAGCTCCGTGAAGCAGGGGGAGAACTCGCCCTCCTTCCCCAGTCTCTCGCACTCTCGGATGAGCCTGACATAGACGTCGGGGTCAGGTCTGTAGGACTCCGTCACCTGACCTGTTAGGGACAAATCCATAACTTTAAGATGTCAGCTCTTCCCTGAGGTTCTTTCCGTCGCCCTGGGGTGACAAGCTCGCTGGCGTGGATACAGGGAAAGGGCCATTTCCAGCCCCATTCTCCCATCCGCTGCCAGCGCCCAGTCCACGCCATGAAGGTTACAGGCTTCTGCAGGATCCCTGTCCCGGCTGCTTTCTCCATCACTTCCTGCTGGTCCTCTCCTCTCCTTTCATCCTCCGCGTCCTGCATTTCCCCCACTACACTCAGGTCTCCTCTAACCTCCGGGCCTTTGCCTGTGCTGTGCCCTCTGCCTGGCATGCCCTTCCTCCCCTTCTCTCTCTCTTTTAGGACCACTGTACCCCAGCAGCCAACACAGGACATGGCAACCAGGGGACACTGCCAAACTTTTTTCATTTTGTGGCGTTTTTCTCGAGAGTCCCTTAGGCCAAAAGAAATCCCTATCAGTTCTGTGTATTAAGTAGATCCGTTCCCACAACTTAATAGTAGCAGTTTGCACGGTGTCCGACAGATGTCGCTGTGTTTCCCTCAGAAATTTAAAATCTAAACTATTCCTACACACACACCCCTGTGAGCCAGTTCACTGGGGTGTCCTGGGGTGCCTGGGTGCACAGTTGGGGAACTCCCATTTGTGAACACCTACTATGTGCCAGGCCCTGTGTAAGAGCTTAATGTAGATGCTCATTTAATACTTTGAAATAAGTATGACAGTGGTTTTACAGTTTTTCTCATGTGGGGATTGAGCCTCCTCCGAGAAGGTGTACTTCCCTGCCCACCTGTACATCACCCATAGATTCCCAGCCCTCAGAGTAAGTGTGATGAGGCTTCCTCATGTTTTGGGTCAAAGATGAAATTAACATGCCAGATCCATGCTTCTTCATTTTTAGAAAGACAAAATACTAAGAAATGCCTTGCCCCCAAATCGTGCCAATTTGCTGTTTAATGTCACTCCTGAGTCTGATCAGACCTTCTTCCTTCTTGCCCCAGGAGAGAACCGAAGATCTTTTCCCCATTTTAAAGGGATGCCCTGCTTTGGGAAGACTAACTGTGAACGATTTCCGATCAGAAATATGAACCGAGAGAGAAAGAAGCCCGGTCATAGGACAGAGGCCGACATTGCTTGTGTCAGGGGCGCTCACCCAGGACATCATAGGCGGGCAGCACATCAAACTCCACCTCCGCCTGGGAAGAATGGCTCTTGAGCGTGAAGCTCAGTGCGCGGGGGTTCCGAAATTTAGGTTGGACCTCGAAGTTCACGGTAAACCTTCTCTCTTGCTGACATGCTTCCAGCTGTGTTCTGATTTCCTGGATGAACTCTCCTCGGCGATCAAACTGCTCCTGAAAACTTATGAGGGGGCTGAGGAAGACGACGAGGTCGGCGTCAGACCGGTCTTTGAGAGCGGTGCCTTTGCCCGAGGAGCCGCCCTGGAACAGAGAGGAGGAGGAGGAGGAGACTGGCGTTTCTTGAGAAGAGCCTCCCTACATAAAAGGACGAGCCCATCGCTAACATTCTTGGGCACCGGCCACTGTTCTGAGGGCATCGCCCGTCTTACCTCCTACGATGCTCCCAAGGACTTGGCTATTTAGGCGTTATTATTATTATTGGTTCCCATTTCACGGGTGGGAAGACAGATGCTCAGAGAGATTACCTATGGGCCCAAGCCACCGCTGACAGGTGGCGGGGACGCAGTTCAAGCCCCAGCTGCCTGGTTCTAGAAGCTGTGGTCTTCACTCCCTGGCTTTGACTGTCTTACGTCATTATATGCAGTAGCCTGGCCCATGCTGGGTGGTTTACTGAATCTGCACAGCCCGGTAACGTATTGGGACGCATGGATGAGGAAACGGAGGCACAGAGAGGCTACTGCCTTGCTCAAGGTTTTACAGCCAGCGGGGGCTACCTTCCTTGTGCAATTATTATTAAATTTATTGGGGGTGACGTGGGTTAATATAACATCACATACGTTTCAGGTGTGCAGCTGTGTAATACATCTGCATACGCTGTTGTGTGCTCACCGGCCAAGACTGGTCTCCTAGTGTCACATTGTGTTTGAACCCTTTTATCCTCTTCATTCTCTCCCCCCGCCCCACACACCCCACCCCACCCGATCTCCATTCACCTAGTAACCAGCAACCTGTCAAAATTTAGACTCTGCATCAATGGTGAGTCCTCAGCCTGGCCATTAATTAGCAGATTGTGGATCAGAGCTGGGCCTCCGCTTCCCGATCTCCGAAATGGACGCAGCTTAGGACGGTGGTTCATGAACTTCACTGGGGCATTTGTTAAAAAATTACAGAGTCTGGCCCGGCCGGCGTGGCTCAGTGGTTGAGCATCGGCCTATGAACCAGGAGGTCACGGTTGGATCCGCAGTCTGGGCACATGACAGGTTGTGGGCTCAATCCCCGGTAGGGAGTGTGCAGGAGGCACCCGATCAATGATTCTCTCTTATCATTGATGTTTCTCTCTCTCTCTCCCTCCCTCTCCCTTCCTCTCTGAAATCAATAAAAATATATTTATTAAATACATTGCAGAATCTATTTTCACAAACTGTGGTTATACTTTTGGTAGGGATCAACTGGAAACCAGCAGCCCCAGATCTCGTTCTCTGTGGAAACTCCTGCCCGTTCAACCACCCCCTCCCCGGTCTGGCCGGTGGGCTCACCTTTACAACCTTCGACACCCGGACTCTATCTCGGAGGAAACACCTCTCCTTCAGGAAACTGCAGATGATGTCAATGGCTTGCTTGACCTGCGTTCGGAAAGCAGTGTCTGGCAGGAGGTGGTGTTCGATGAACCTGTCCAGATCCTTGGCTGGGATCACTTGGAGATCTGTGGCTACGATCGCTTGGAGCGACCACATTGTGATGCTGGGCAGGGACAGGAAGAGCCAGGGGCTGAAGGAAACCTCCGGGGTCTCTCTCTTCTGTGGCCCAGGTCTGAGCTGCCCTGGGTTTCCTTTCTCTTCTGTCGCCCAGGTCTGAGCTGCCCTGGGTTTCGTTTCCTGGGAAGGGAGGAGCTACGCCCTTGCCTCTTATCAGATGACTCATTCCTCCGGCATCCCGGAGGCCTCCCCCACGTTCTGCAACTGACCTCTGCCTTTAACAGTTGCCTGTCTTCGGACTGTACTCTGGAAATACTGTTTTTTAACCCCCATTAGAACCTCACCCGACAGAAATCAGGATCCCAAACCAATTTTTGGTTTTCTTCTTCCTAGTTTTTGTTTTGTTTTGTTATTGTTGCTGACAATTGTTTTATAGTCTCCTGTGATTAGTATGTGCGTATGGCCAAAGGGAAAAAGTTAGAAGACTTAGGAAGCATAAAACCCCATTCATAACCCCAAACCTCAACAACGTTGGAACATGTTGGTGGCCGGTGCGCCGCCCGGTCAGCGCACACACCAGGTTGCAGGTTTGATCCCCGGTCAAGGTGCTTACGGGAGGCAACCGATCGCTGTTTCTCTCTCACTTCGATGTTTCTCTTTCTCTCCCTTCCGCTGTCTCTAAAATCAATAAACATAACTCTGGGCAAGGATTTAAAAAAAATTCCCTCTAATCACTGATTCCATTGCATGCCACACTTTTAATTGTTGTTTCTTTATTGTCAGTCCGTGCAAACGATTTTTAAATTTCTCTTGAGGATTCTTTGACTCATGTGTTAGTGAAAAGTGTGTTAGTCTTCAAATATTTTGGAATTTTCCAGATAGCCTCCTATTATTGATAGAGTGTTAAATTCCATCGTGGCAGAGAGCATACTTTGATGAGATGCATCCTTTCGAATGTGTTAAGGTGTGTTTTCTGGGGAATGTTGCATGTGAGCTTGAGGAGAATGTGTATTCTGTTATTGTTGGATGAAGTCGTGTAGAGATGCCCGTTAGCTATCTTTCTTAATTACCCTTCCCTTCACCAGCTCCTCAGTTGACTGGCACTCCCCATTCCTGTGCACTATGTTGACTTTTGCTTAAAGCAAAATGTAACTATGAAGGGGTGGGTGTCATTCTACACAACACTCATTTTGCCCACCAGTTGGGTTGTATAGATATCAAAGATTTCGTTTGCTCCCCAAATGCCTTTATGGCAAAAGTACTTGTTCATGAAATGTATACTTTGGGCTAAATCTACATATAAACAGATCCAGCATGAGTTCGGAAGAGATCTGTCCTTAGGAAACCAGCATTGTATTCTTTGGGAAAATGTAGTAAAAGCATGTTTCACAAAACATTGCCTAGAATTAGGGAAGCGTGAGTCGTAAGAATTACAACTGTAAAAGATTGAGGAAATAAGTGGAAGAATACAGAATTACGCCCTCAAGATTTTTGCAAGTGGCTGTAAGTTCTTGTTCCCTTTAAAGAAACAGCAACAGGAAATTATAGATGGCGCTTTCTTGTGTGTTTCGTACAAGACAGACCGCACAGGACTCCACTCCAGGGGCCTGACCTCAGCAAAAAGGTCTAGGTCGGACATGGGGAACGGCCGGCCCGCGGGCCACATAAGGCCCTGGAAATCATTCGGTCTGGCCCGGCCAAGGCATTAGGGGTGAGTTCATTAAATGTTTGACCAAATATAGCAGGCTAGCTTTTAAGTTGATAATTTTGTACGGCCCTTGAATGATGTTATAAATACCCAAATGGCCCTTGGCGGAAAGAAGGTTCCCCACCCCTGGTCTAGGCCTTTCTTGAATGACTGGGACATGAAGGCCCATGTGTGGGCCCTGGCAGCCAAGTGAGAGGATTATGATACTCTGATGTCCTATCTATGGAGTTGAAGACCCACAGGGGGACGTGACTTGCTCAAGGTCACGCAGCAGTACTGGGCCAGGGCCGAGCGAAATATCCCTTTTACATGCATGCGTGGTGATTCGTATTTCCGTGGGGCTGGGCTGTATTGTTAAACTTCATTAGGCCAATGTCCCTGGCAGATCTGAGCGGAGGAGGGACCAGAATACTGACCGTTTAATCCACTTGCCTGTGGGCCCAGCTCATACGGCTTCCACCAGGAACCACGGCCCTTTGATGCCCTCCCCCTTCCCGGGCCTCACCTGTGTCAGCCCTGATGGGAGACCAGAGCTTGGCAACTTGGTCTCACCTCTTTGAAGTATTTACGATTGTCCCCATTTTCCAGGTGAGGAAACTGAGACTCCACAGCTAGAAAGTGGCGGCCAGGATCTGAACGCTGGACTTGAACGAGCGAAAAAGCTGCTGTGGTTTTTGGTCAGGTGCTTTCTACCACATCATGTTGCCTCTGTTTTGTTTCAATGAGGGGATGGGGGGGAGATAATTAGCCAAGTCAGGTGTACCGGTATTTATGAGAACTTTCCTTGTGTGTCTTTCTCCGTTTCTTTGGGATGTCCCATGTCTAGAGAAGGAAATTAGGTTTCTTTTCAACTGCCCATGACGGAGTGGTGGCGGCTGCCTGGATTGCTGTGTTAAGAAGGATTCAGAGGCTGCTAGGAGGCTCTGTGGGAATGATGCCATATCGATTAGTGATGTCTGCCATGAGCAGAGGGAGAGAGTGGCAACAAGTGTCCCCTGCCATTCCCGGGAGGCCTGGATGGCTGTAACCGGCACCTCTCTCCACCTGGTGGCCGCTAGCTGAGTTGCAGAAAAAAACAAACAGGATGTTAGGGCAGTGGTTTGCCAAGTCACGATGGAGGTGGAAACAGACATCAACCAGGAAATATTTTAACCCACGGCAAGTGGATGAAACAGTCAGTATTCTGGTGGGCAGAGCTGGGGTAGACTGAAAAAAAATCTCCCCAGTGAACCTGTTATGCCGACTTCTGCCCCAACCCTGGGAACCTCCCTTTGCGGGGACAAGACAAGGAACTTGTTTCGAACTTGGCCTGGAAAAGGCCCAGCTTCTGCCGGATGGAACTGACGGTTCCTTCTGGGAGGAAACCAGCACTCCTGATGCCTTTTCCCGAGCACCTTGGGGACGGGTTACAGTGGGATTGGGGATCCAGCTGCAAAGTTCGTTACCTACTCAGCTCACTTTCGGGACGTGGAGAACCTCGAGGGAGGGGCCATCGTGAAGGCTGCTTGCGGGATGGGGTGGAAGGTGCTGGAATACAAAGGAGGTACTCGGTGATCTCATCGGTGTCAATCAACCTGCCAAGAGCAGCCCACAGGGTGTCCCCGATCTAGCTCCCTCCCCGAGACTGGTCCTCCTCTGGGCTTTGGGTTGTTCACCAGTCGGGTGAGTGAGCTGACAGCTTTCACGTTACCTGAGCCCACAACCACGTGGGACTCCCCCCCAAGGCTGGGGTGGGAGGGAGGAGCTGAGGATGCTGCCTGCCTGGTGGGTGGGCACCAGCACAGAGTCCTCTTCTAAGAGGCCGTGGGGTGAGATGAGTGGCCTTGAGCCTACCTGCCCAAGCTGACATCCACCAGGAAGCAAGCTCCAGGTGGGCAGAGACCACGCCTTCCTTGCTGGCCGCCGTGTCCCCAGTGGCTGGAACGTAGTAGGTGCTCATTAAACACCGGCTATCCAGGCAGTGGCGGGTGTCCCGGCGGGGAGAAAGAACCCCGGGAACCAGAAAGGAAGAGCGCAGGCCACGGTGTTCCTGGATACTCCTACTTTATTTTTGGCTACATCATCACAAAGAAAGGCGGTGGGCGGAGCTGGGGTTCTGCATGCACCGGAGGGCGGAGGGTGTGTGTGTGCTGGAGGCGGGGTGGGGTTGGGGGGCGGTTACATTTGTGGGGAGAGCGGAGAGAGCGTGTGCCTGGCCTGCGGGCACTGGGAGCTCGCCACATGCTGGTTCCAGCGCCAGTACCCACGCCAGGCTTGGGCGACGCAGCCAGCATGCTTTCTCCTAAGGGCCAACCGTGGGGCCGTGGAGGGTCAGGGGGCCGACAGCAGCCAGGAAGCTGTTGGCCATCTCGGGGCGGGCGGGGAACACGGTGTTTAGGACTGAACGTTTAGAAATCGGTGGCTCTCAGTGAATTGTGCGGCGAGCTGGGGGTGGAGAGCCTGGCGGGGGAAGGTGAAAAGGCGTGTGTTTCCAGGAAGTGAGCATTTGCGCGTCCATCTCAGGTCAGGGTGGGCTGCTGGACAGAGGGGCGATTCTCACAGGGGCAGGCGCCGTGGGAATGGGAAGAACCAAGGCTTTCCACAGGCAGCGCAGACTGCCCGAACCCAGCCTCGGATGCGTGATGTTTGTCCGCGCTGCCTTCTTCTCCTTTGGAAAGCAACTTTTTTAAAGAGCAAGACTGGATGATCCCGACGGAACAAAAGCCTTACGCACCGGCACCTGTCACACTACAGTTTCAGATCCACGATGACGGTGGTGTATTCCTCCCGCACACTTGGAGGGTGCGAGGGACAGAGACAGAGAGACAGACAGACAGAGACAGACAGATTCGGGGAGATTCTGGGTGAGACACAGGCGCGAGAGTCAAAGCAGCCGAGTCAGAGTGTCAGGGACAGGGGTTGTAGGTCCACTGAACGGAGAGCGGAGGGAGGAGGAACCCGATGCGGCTTCGGCGAGATCCCCCCCTCTCCCCCAGCCCAGAGCTCTGGCTTCCAGGCGCCTTCTGCGCCCGCCCCGGGAGGCCAGGGGCTGGGAAAGCCCTGCCCTGC